GTGTTGGGTTAATGTTTAGTGATAGTGTATTGAAGTGTTGGGTTAATGTTTAGTGATAGTGTATTGAAGTGTTGGGTCAATGTTTAGTGACAGTGTATTGAAGTGTTGGGTCAATGTTTAGTGATAGTGTATTGAAGTGTTGGGTTAATGTTTAGTGACAGTGTATTGAAGTGTTGGGTTAATGTTTAGTGATAGTGTATTGAAGTGTTGGGTTAATGTTTAGTGATAGTGTACTGAAGTGTTGGGTTTATGTTTAGTGATAGTGTATTGAAGTGTTGGGTCAATGTTTAGTGATAGTGTATTGAAGTGCAGGGTTAATGTTTAGTGATAGTGTATTGAAGTGTTGGGTTTATGTTTAGTGATAGTGTATTGAAGTGTTGGGTTAATGTTTAGTGATAGTGTATTGAAGTGTTGGGTTAATGTTTAGTGATAGTGTATTGAAGTGTTGGGTTAATGTTTAGTGATAGTGTATTGAAGTGTTGGGTTAATGTTTAGTGATAGTGTATTGAAGTGTTGGGTTAATGTTTAGTGATAGTGTATTGAAGTGTTGGGTTAATGTTTAGTGATAGTGTATTGAAGTGTTGGGTTAATGTTTAGTGATAGTGTATTGAAGTGTTGGGTTAATGTTTAGTGATAGTGTATTGAAGTGTTGGGTTAATGTTTAGTGATAGTGTATTGAAGTGTTGGGTTTATGTTTAGTGATAGTGTATTGAAGTGTTGGGTCAATGTTTAGTGATAGTGTATTGAAGTGTTGGGTTAATGTTTAGTGATAGTGTATTGAAGTGTTGGGTTAATGTTTAGTGATAGTGTATTGAAGTGTTGGGTTAATGTTTAGTGATAGTGTATTGAAGTGTTGGGTTTATGTTTAGTGATAGTGTATTGAAGTGTTGGGTCAATGTTTAGTGATAGTGTATTGAAGTGTTGGGTTTATGTTTAGTGATAGTGTATTGAAGTGTTGGGTCAATGTTTAGTGATAGTGTATTGAAGTGTTGGGTTAATGTTTAGTGATAGTGTATTGAAGTGTTGGGTCAATGTTTAGTGATAGTGTATTGAAGTGTTGGGTTAATGTTTAGTGATAGTGTATTGAAGTGTTGGGTCAATGTTTAGTGATAGTGTATTGAAGTGTTGGGTCAATGTTTAGTGATAGTGTTTAGTGATAGTGTATTGAAGTGTTGGGTTAATGTTTAGTGATAGTGTATTGAAGTG